CTCCACCAGTCAAGCAAGCGGTGGGTGAGAGTGGACACCCATTAAGTTGCCATTTTATAGGCAACAACCTTATACCCACCTTATAGACCGGCTTCGTGAATGAGGCGTACTAGCGGTAAGACTGACTTTACTCTTATACATATATATTATTATTAACTTATAATATTATAAAGTATAAGGGTTGAATTTTAACTTTTAAAATTCTAAGGGCTAACTTGGAATTAAAGTATTCATAAGAGAAAACTTTACAAATTCCAAAACTTGAGGGCAAGTTTTGAAACTATTCAAAACTAATTAATTCCATAACTTATGTGTTTAAAGTAGTTTTAATCCAAAAACTCTTCAAGTTCCATAACTTATGGAAGACTTTAAACTAATAAAAGAATTAACTTTTCTTTATTTTATAACTTATGGAATTAATTAAGGTTACATTTTTTATTTTTTTTATTTATTTAATGAAGAGACTCTTGGTCCTCCATAACTTGAGGACAAATTATGGAGTCATAACTCCAATTAATTAGAACTAGACTCTTCATTTTTTGTAACCTTTGCCAATTTTATGAGTTTTATGAGTCTTTAATGTGACTCTTCATGTAACTTGAGGACAAGTTACACAAACACATTTTATACTCAACTCTTAGATTAAAATGGATTGAAAACAACTATTTCAATTAACTTTTCTATTAATCTAAGCAACTCATAAGAACAAGATAATTCAAATCAAACTTTTTCATGTAATTAGTCTTTAAACTAATACAAAACATGAATCTATTGACAATTATCTTTGAAAATGGATTAGCATGAACATTACCACATTAAAAAACAAGTTTATAAGTTCAAAAACAACTTAGGGTAATGTTCCTAGTCCATTTCTAGCCAAAAACCTCGAAAATATGCTGTGGGTCCAACTCGTCGAGTGCATGAACATAACTCGGCGAGTTGGATGCATTTTGCCTTGGACTCGTCGAGTCCCTTCATGGACTCGGCGAGTCTGCTGGGTAGACAGCAACAAAACTCGATTTTTCAGCTTCTATTGCAAGTATAACAAGAAAACAAGCCTAGGCTCTGATACCACTGTTGGGTTATGAGCATTCTAACACTCCTAAGTGTACATGCAACCCTAAATACCTTGGATCTATGTTTTCTCTATTATACATGCAAATATGAACATCCAAGGTATTATCCTAAACTAGCATACAAAACTATCAATATAACAAGATAGAATACATACCTCTTTGATGGTGCTTGTCTTCATGAAGCTTGAGTGCCTAGTGCCCCAAGTGTGACACCTCAAATGGTTCACAATCATCAAAACACTTAGAATAACTTAGAGAGAATTCTACACTTCATGAAAATCGGCTAGCCCTTTCTTGAATAATACTAGTGGCCGATTTTCCTCAAGAATAAGATGCTTATATAGTTATACAATTAGGGTAAACTCTAATTGTCATGAATTTTCATTTCCCTGGATCCATGGGTTCAAATATACCATGGAGCATCATATGGGTTTTGGCCCAACTAGATAATCCATGGAGCATTAGCCCACTATACAAGTATGGATGATTTACACAATTAACCCATATATTTAATTAGTCTTCTTTTGATCACATAATTAATCCTAGATTAATTCTTGATCAATACTAATTAAATAATCTCATTATGCTTATTATTAATACACTAGAACTTATAATATATTAATAACCATAAGTGTCTTATTTCTCTCATTATAGTCTATCCAAGTGCATGATGGTATGCAACCCAAATGGACCATGTCGGGTTGGGTCAAGTCTTACCAATTATAGTTATGGACTTAGACATTAATCCAACAGGATGTTCCCACGACAACCTTCTGAACTCGTTATGGTCACTACGAGTTCGTAGTGATGCCCCTTCGGATTAACCGATGCACCGACAATATTCATGGACATAATGAATCAGGTGTGCCACCATTACTTAGATAAGTTCGTGATAGTATTCATCAACGACATACTTATCTACTCTCGTAGTAAGGAGGAACATAGTAAACACTTACAACAGGTACTAGAGACACTACGATCAGAGAAGCTTTATTTGAAGTTTTCTAAATGCGAGTTTTGGATTCAAAGAGTCAAATTTTTTGTAACACCCAATTCCTGGTATGCATTTAATTCAAGAAACTTCATATTTTTCTCTGGGACTCGACGAGTTGGGGGGCCTAACTTGTCGAGTAGACGTGACATCCTGCAGGAGTTTAAGTGATCTACTCGACGAGTCAGGAGACCGACTCGGCGAGTAGGTGTTGTTTGAGTGAAACCCTAAATTTGAGGGTTTGAACCCTATTTAAACAACTTATCTCTTCCCATATCAACCTCCCTCGTCACTTATACCTCCAGAAGACCTTAAATTGAAACCCTAGCCTTGTTTGAGTGTTCTTAAGCCATTTTGTGCATTTTTGGTGGATTATGAAGCTTGAGAAGAAGAAAGGAGCTTGGGAGTTCAAGTTGAAGCTAGAAGATCTAGAGATTATGTTCCATTTCCAGCCCATTTAAGGTAAAAAGCTTCAATCTTGACTCTTCATGTGTTTAATCATCTTTAGGGCTTGGATTTTGGTATCTTTAGGACATTCTAAGCCATTTTCAGGTTGTGGGGTGTAATGTGGAGATATGGCTTCAGATCTTGGACTTTGGAGGGGTCTCATTGCATAAAGGTGCCAACTTTATAGCCATGAGAGCCCCATGCATCTTATAGACCTCATTTTTGTTCCTTTAGAGCTTAAAGACCCATGCATTGACGTAAAGTTCGTGACTTTACATGCTATATCTACCCTGAGAGGTCAGATCTACCCTTTAGATGAGATGAGCTTGATAGAAATCGAGTTTATGGACATGGACTTTAGTGGAATTAGTGAGTTATTCTTAGGACTCGGTGAGTGGGGTAACGGTTCCCCTACTTTTGCTATTTTAAGGGATCTGGTTGAGTCTAGAGGAGGACTTAATAAAGTTGGACGTGATTATAGACTTGGAAATCATGGGACTCGATGAGTGTTTGATCAAACTTTGCGAGTCCAAGGCAATCACCCAATCCATGAAGATAGACTCGATGAGTTGTTCATACAACTCGATGAGTCATAGACTGGACACATTCATATGAGGGAGACGAACTCGACGAGTTGAATGATGAATTCGGTGAGTTAGTGGAAGATGGTCCCGATATTATGGTTAAAGGAGAACCCGTCGAGTTCTTGCTAGACTGGATGAGTAGAGTTAGGGGTTGTATTATGCTGGAGGAGTATGGAATCGACAAGTTAGTAGACCAACTCGGTGAGTCAACTCAACTGGAGGTTGACTTTGACCAGATTTGAGTTGACCCTGGTTAGGGTTACAAATACAAATTGATAACTTAGAAGAGTTGTCGTGTAGGGATTGATGAGTCGAGGAGATTTGATTTTCACACCGAGGACAGTTCAGACACTACACGACATTGAGGTGAGTTACCTTCCAATAGAAGTGGGTCTAAGGCACCAAGGCCGACCCACTAGTAGTTGTTTAGTTGAGACGATTGTCTTTGTGATAATTGTCTGGTTGCTATTGCTTGATATGTGTGTATGTTAGCATGATGTGTTATATGTGATAGTATCGGTAGGAGGGAACTAGACCCCAATTTGGTTTCTAGGACCAATGGGTAGGTCGGACACCCCATATATGTCTGACAACATGATTATGATATGATATTATATGCTAGCGGTAGGGGGTGAAATAGTTCCCGTATTCGGTTAAGATAGACTGGAGGTCAGGTCGACACCCTAGGATGGCCTGACATGGGTAGGTCAGCACCCCAGAACGTCTTGACATGGGTAGGTCAGCACCCCAGAATTGCTTGACATGGGTAGGTCGGGCGCCCTAAAATTGCCCGACAATATGTATGTTGTTTGGTATACGGTATGATGGGGGAACTCACTAAGCCTTGTGCTTACAGTTTCAGTTTTGGTTTTAGGTACCTCTTCGTCCAAGGGGAAGGAGCCGGTGGTGTAGCAGCACATCATACACACATGATTTCCTCATGGAGTTTTATGGGATTATACTCTGATTTTTAATTACTTTTGATGATATGGTTTTGAGACACGTTGTTATGGTTTTATAAATTGATATGACATTGGCAATGTTTTGGTAAACTATTTTATAAGTTAATTAAAAATGGAATTTTTGGCCTTGAAAATTGGGATGTTATATTTTTGGGTCACGTGGTTAGCGAAGAGGGTATTCACCAAGGACGCCTACCAAGATTCGTCAATTCTTAGGCCTCGCTGGATACTATCATAGGTTTATTCAGAACTTCTTAAGGATCGCGAAGCCACTTACAACATTGACCCAGAAAGGTGTGAACTTTGATTGGGAAGAGAAACAAGAAAGAGCATTCCAAACGCTGAAGCAAGCCTTATGCACCGCACCGATACTATCCCTCATAGAAGGGATAGAAGATTTCGTAGTATATTGCAATGCATCCAACCAAGGGATTGGTTGTGTTCTGATGCAACGAGAAAAGGTCATCGCCTATGCCTTACTACAGCTTAAGACACACGAAGTCAATTAAACCACACATGATCTCACTACTAGAAAAACAGCCTTTTACGATGCTCATTGCGCGTCGTAAAACGCTCAGACTACGCGCAAATGCGTGTCAAGGAAGGCCCTGTCATAACGAGAGACGACGCGCTTTTGCACGTCCTCTAGAGACGACGCGCATTTACGACACGCATTTATGACACGCAATGCGTATCAACAAAAGTCGCTGTCAAGAAAGGCCATGTCATAAATGAAGATGACAAACTTGTTTGCGTATCGTAATTTTTATTTTTATTTTAAAAAAAAATTATTTATAGATTTACTAATTTTCAAATTAAATTTGCATTTCATGTATCATAATAGAAAATAAAATACGATTTGCAAAAAATACAATCCATTGCACAAAAGTTAATGTCATACAAAATACAAAATAAAATACAATAAATAAGAAAGATAAATCATTGCACTAACATGTCAAATACAAATAATCATCCCTAAATATATAAGCTAATACTACATTGATATTAAGGGACATCATCATAACTCACTAAAGGTCTTGGAACAATGTTCTCGTCATCAACTCTTACGCTAACCTTGCTTTAGTAGATGGTCTTGTAGCTACATTGCAATTTAGCCATTTCCAACTGCAATGTTTTATAAATTATTATTATTTTAGATTTATTTATCTAAAACCAAAAATAAATATATTGAAAATGACACATACTAGTCCAGTAGACATTGCTAATTCACCCAACTGCTTCCATTTCGACTCACTTTGTGCTACTAGTACGATATCCTATATACACAAACAAATGTTATTATTAATTATAATTCATAAAGTCAAGTATTGGAATATCTTTTGCTTACCTTCACAATCTCTAGTTTACCAAGCTGAATATCTAGTTCAAATCTATAATCAAGACCTGTAGCAACTGCTAAAGCTTCATCAATCATTCCACGTGACTCCAATAAATGAGCAACACTATCGAGAAAAGAAATATTCATATATTAAATTGCTTTGGTTTATCTCAATCAAAGTACAATGATACAAAGTAAGTTGCCTTTATCATTTTATTATTGATCTTTGATATTTTGACAAGATTGAGAGAAAAAGAGACTTGCACTACATTAAGGGGGACATCCCCTAAAGAAACAGTTGCCACAACATTAATCACAAGGGCAACCACATTTACAGTGAGTTGGAACTGAATAAATTTTTGTATGTTTGCATGCCAAAGAAACACATTAATCTCAAAAAATAATAATAATAATAATAATAATAATAATAATAATAATAATAATAATAATAATAATAATAATACTTTTGAAGCGTTTTCTATACCAACATAAAGACCAAAAACAGAAGATATCAGACCTTTACAATGGAAGCGAAATTGTCTTCCAAGATTACGATATCACTACTTTCTTTTGCAACTTCAGTTCCTTGGATGCCCATAGCAAGACCAATATCATCCTACAATTTCAATTTCAAAAAATAAAAATCATAAAAATACAGCAAAAATAATTAAATTAATCATGAAAGAGCTTTAATTATTACCTCATGTAGTGCAGGGGCATCGCTTGTTCCATCTCTAGTGTAGCTAAGTGAAAAACAGCAAGAATTCATCTAATCTGCTACTATGCTATTCAGACTCGTATATTCAAGAAAAAGAAATCAAAAGATTTGAATTTTAAAAATATAAAGATAGGGTTTTTGATTGATTGTGCAAGATTTAGGAGGACAGGAAAAAAAAGATACAAAAATAGATTATACTGTGTTCAGAGAGATGTGTGGTGTGAAAGATATATAAACAGTACTCTCCATAAGTGCTATGATCAGAACTCATACAAGTTTACACACAATTCTCCATAAGTGTTACGATCATTTTTCATCGAAAAAATGGCCACCAATAAGATTATGTAAATTTGCCTACAAGGAAGAAGTACAACAGCTCGTACAACTAAGGCACCAGTGGCTCCAAGGGCAGAAGGGTCATATGCAATAATAGCATAATTATGAACAGGGTGAAGACACATCGGCTGAAAAAATTAGATAATAACCTTAATTAAGAGATTAAGAATTAAGAATTAAGATTAATATTTAAAAGTTAAAAGTTAATTTCTCTGTTTCATAATCATACCTCTCATGGGATTTTCAACTTTTCTTGTGATTCTTGAAATTTCTGCAGTTCAAGCTCAAGTCTAAAGTTGTCTTTTGTCGTGATTCTTGACACTTCTACCCCTGTATGCTCTTCTACATTGTCTTCATCAACTACTGATTGTTCTGATGCCTCGAGAATATTTATCTCCAATTTCTGTTTTTCTATTTGTTCGTCTAGTTCCTGGAGGATAGAAACTAGCTTAAGATTTGATTCTTGAGTTTTACTCAATTGTATACTCAAATTATTATTCAAATCTTATGGAAATTTTATTTCTTCTTCAAGTTCTGCTTGGATACCATTTTTATCTTGAACCTGAGCTTTTAGATTAGATCCATAGATCAGGTTTTTTTATTCTAGATAGATAAAGCGTGATAACTGCCATGCCGCTTCTTCACCAGGACGATCTTTTCTAAGACCATGCCTCTTCTGAAGAGAAACAGATTGACTAGTCAAACATGGTCAAACATGAAAGTAGAGGATGCTATGATATAATCAACAAATATAATCACACCTTGTTATCAAATTTTAGTGGGAAGCCACTGTTTGAGTTGTTCATACTATCTGGTGCTGACTCCAGAAATCTCATATTGTAAATTGCCTTCATATCTTCAGGAAGCAAATCTGCTAACTGAATATTAAAAAATGATGTTATTGGGTATATTTTACAAACTACAATGCCTTGATAACAAAAATACAATGCTGTAATAGTAAGAGAAAAAAAGATCCTCACCTCCAATATCTTTGCAAGTTTATCAGTCTCAAATTTCTCGGTATGAGTTGCTACATATATCATTAATAATCGGATCTTTTGTTCATCTGTTGCATCCTGCATGAAGCAACAACATACAACATTACAATTATGGACATGAAATCTAGAATGCATATAATAAATTATTAATTCCTGCTGTTTGCTCACTTGTTCTTTGAGAAACTTAATGATATCTTTTGTTCTTGCATCTCCAAAGACAAGGTCTTGCTCTAATTGCCCCACTTCTCTAAGCCCCATCTCCCTGATAATACCATTAATCTTTCCAGCAAGCTGTTTCAGTCAAACTAGTATCAGACATAGTTGACCATTATATCAACATAACCCTAGATTTATTTATTTATTTATTTAAAAAAAAACAAACAAGCAAATACCCTAGTGACTTACATCAACATGGAGGGATAGTTTGTCCATTTGTTCATTAGCAATGCTTGAACCATCTTTTGCAAGTCACGAGTAGACATCTCCCCACCATCTCTACAAAAACAATTATTTTGTTGAATTACAAGGGTAAAATGGTCATTTAGTCTCATTTAGACACTTTATTCATTCTAGAAAGAAAAAAAAAACAGACCTTATGTATACAACAACAATTTACATGGTCATTTAGTCTCATAAGAGTAAAATGGTCATTTGGTCTCATGCATACTAGAAAAAACAAACAAACAGACCTGCCATGCATCTGAGCAGCTTTATTTCTGGACACAAAATTTGTCATCTTGTCATGCAAGCGTTCACTAGCCCGAGAATGAACCATTGATCAAAAGCTATATAATTATATATTTTATTAAAAACCAAAACCAAATAAATAAAAAAATCTAAAAAAGACATACATCTGCTATATGGGAATGTCGGAGCTCCAGCCATACTAGATCATGATCCTCTAAAAGGACCTCTTTCCTTTCATAACCATCACCTGTTTTACTTGGAACCTAAGCAATATAATTACTTGGCTTATAATACAAAAATAATATAAAAAATTTCACTAACAAGATTTTATAATAATAAACAATGTACACTACACTAACCACGTGAACATATTTATTTCCCTCCATTTCAAGTAAATCATGGCACATTGCATCATATGTCCATTCATGAATAACAGGAGCAATCTACAAGTAAAAAAAAAACAGAGTTAGTTCCTAACTCTACTAAAAAATTAAATTAAAGATGACAGGTTGCATCCTATTATTATAATTTGATAAAGGCCTAGAAATGGAAAAGGAGACATGAGAAGATGATCCTGGTCGTGAAGATGACTCTGAAACCACATTCTTCCCCACTCCCAGAAGCTCATTGGGTCCCACCTTCCTTTGCTCAGAACCAGCTGTCATATTTAACCATTCATAAATACAATTAATTTACATTAAATAAAAAATAATTTCAAATACAAAACAAGATGATAACAAAATGGTGATTAAATAAATTTAAAAAAAAAATTCTCACAAGAAGTCGATTTGATCACAAGAGGGGTCTCTTGAATTTGTTCAACTGCAGCTACTTTACTCCCAGCCTCACATCTAATAGTACCCACAGACAGCCGTGAATCTTGTGATGGCATCAAAATAGGATCTTTTTCAGACAAATATACCCCTAGTGATTTCTACATGATTATACAGGCACAAACAGAAAAACCTACAAGCTTCCACGTTTTTAAGCATACTGAAACCATAATTACACAACTGCGTACCTTGAGAAACTGACCCCTTCTGTTTTCCCCAATGTCAAAGTAAAACACTTGAAGAAAGAACCCTAATCAGAAAGGTAATTGGACAGATATGAAGGTTATTTGAAAGAAAAATCTATGATAATTGTTGAAGAAACTAGTAAAGTCAATCCACATTTTGCAGAGTAATAAATATGAAAGTGTATGTATAGTATGTGTAATGTGTAATATAATAAATTGCCTAGCTATCAAGCTGAAGTTCCTTTCTAGAAATATCTTGGTCATCAGAAGTGACGTAGTAGTTGAAGATATCAAAGAACCAATAGATTCCATTGAAAGGTACGATTATGGTGGACCTTGTCGCCGACGTCTTCTCCGAAATCTTCAGGTAACGACAGCGTGGTTCTCCTTGATATCAATGTAAAACAACTTATGCTCCACCGCTTCGTGCACCTCCGCCGCCGCCCGAGTTAAACTCCATCTCCCCTTACGTCTTCTCCTGCACCTCCACCTGTAACATCTTAGACAACAACTCCTCGTTGCCCCTTACGTGTTTTGAACCAGGCGAGAGAGATGAGATGGAAAATCGAGAGTGAGATAGAAAAAATTAGGGTCGGATTTAGGAACCCTAAATCATCGGCTCAAATTGATAACTGGGAGGTAAGAACCCTAAATCCTCAGCTCAGGATCGAATTAAGAGTGTAAGAACTTGTTGGAACCGAGAATTAGGTTTTTGGTGGAGGTGATGGATCGAGGAATTGAGGAAGATGTGGATGAAGACGAAGGCCCTAATTCGAAGAGGCGTGGAATTTTTCGGATGAATAGGCGGGGTGTTAATTTTTTGGATTTTATTTTCCCCCCTAAAACGCGTGTTTCCTTAAAAAAAATATAAAGCGACATAGTGACACGGCGCACATTTTTTTGTAGGTGCCCTCCGTATTTTTTTTCTGACACTAATTTTATGGTACGCAAAAATGCGTGTTATCTATCCTTCAAATTTTCGAAAACTAACATTAATTTTTAGGGCACACACAAATGTGCGCCCTCTATCAGTGTGCGTCATTAATTGCACGTCGTAAAAGGCTATTTTTCTAGTAGTGTCTTAAGTTTGGAGCAGTCGTATTTGCTCTAAAGATCTGGAGACACTACATGTATGGTATGAAAAGCACTATCTTTACAGACCACAAAAGCCTTCAACACATATTCAACTAGAAGGAGCACAACATGAGACAACGACAATAGGTCAAGCTACTAAATGACTCCGAATGTGATATTCGTTATCATACCGATAAATCCAACGTAGTAGCTGGCGCCTTAAGTCGGACAGAGTACTCAGGTCGAAGAGTCAAGTCATTGACTATAACAATCCATTCACATCTATCCATACAAATTAAGGAGGCTCAGCAGAAAGCCTTAAATCCTGAAAATGTGGCAGGTGAATCCCTTAGAGGGATGGATAGGAACTTAGAAGGCAAGAATGACGGAGCCTTATACCTCATGGATTGGATTTGGACATCGAAGTTTGGTGGATTTAGAGATGTGGTCATGAGAGAAGCACACAATACCTGATATTCTGTTCACCCAGGATCAGATAAGATTATGGATCTCAAGAAATTATACTGGTGGCCTAACATGAAAGCAGAGGTTGCTACCTTCATGAGTAAGTGTCTTACTTGTGCCAAGGTTAAGGCCAAATACCATAAACCCTTAGGTTTACTTCAACAACCAGAGATACCTGAGTGGAAGTGTGAGTGGATTACAATGGAATTCATAACCGAGTTACCCAAGACAACAGGTGGACTTGATACTATTTGGGTAATCATTGATTGATTAACCAAGTCCGCATTTCCTACCTATCAAGGAGACTGAAAAAATGGAGAAGCTGACAAAACTTACTTAAGAGAAATAGTGTGACTTCACGGTGTACCAATATCTATTATCACTAATAGAGACAGTAGATTCACCTCGAGGTTCTGGTAGTCACTACAGAAGGCACTAGGGAGTAGGCTATACATGAGTACAACCTACCATCTACAGACAGACGGATAGAGTGAGAGGACTATTCAAACTCTAGAGGACATGTTACGAGCCTGCGTAATAGACTTTGGGAAGGCATGAGATACTCATTTACCCCTTGTTGTGTTCTCCTACAATAGCAGTTATCACACAAGCATAAAGGCTTCTCCATTTGAAGCACTCTATGGCCGCAAGTGCAGGTCACCTCTATGTTGGGCTGAAGTAGGTGATACTCAGTTAGCTAAAGGGCAAGTCCCTAACAACACTCTCATGGGTCCATAAATCATTCGGGAAATGACAGAGAAGATCGTTCAGATTCATGAATGATTGAAAGCCTCTAGAGACCGACAGAAAAGCTACGCTGACAAGAGAAGGAAACCTTTGGAATTCCAGGTTGGTGATTGTGTTCTATTGAAGGTCTCACCCTAGAAGGGCTTGATACGCTTTGTGTTACACCCCCGAACCAGACGGCGGAAACGTCCGATGGCTCTTGTGTCCTAAATTGAACACCATCACAATGAATATACATGAATCATAACATAAATCATCAGCATGCATTAAAATAATACAATTGATATTGTTTACTTCCAGTACATTGTTTTAATCATTACAACTTCATAATAAAAATTGTCTGATAGATATCATAAGCAAAACACCCTGACATTACTTGGTACTTATTCTTCAGTTTACCTGTTACCTGAGAATACAAGTCATTTTGAAAAACATCAACATATGAAATGTTGGTGAGTTCATAAGAAATGTTGTGATAAAATGATTTAGTGTAGTTTGTAAAACCCATAAAATCCGATATTTTCTGAAAAGATTATTGTTTATAGAAAAAATGAGTGTGAAGATCCGTAAATATATGCTTGTTGAATTTTTTTTTCAAAACATGTATAACTGTTGAACTTTTGTATAAATTGCGCAAGTGAAAATGCTGAACTTCCCAGGAAAACCTGATGTTTTCCCAATACATAAAATACAGTGATTTCTCTATTGTTATACCGTTACGACGAATGATTTTGATTACTCGGGTGGCATTGGATTAATTAGGGTTTGTGAGTTGTTATAATCACGCATTAAAAAAAATGACTAGTTTATAACTACAGATTACGAACGATCCTTAAAGGCATCGCCCGTTACTACTAATTTAATCCAATCACCATGATTACTCTTGATTAACGCCCTGAATCTGTTTACTTTGATTTCTCATAAGCCCAACAACCGAGGAGAAAGGGGAGTACGAATTCCCGTTATTTCCGTGAGTTATTTAAGGCTATCGGGAATGCGAAAGACACGTTGGCCCAACTCGCATATGACTTCTCGATCTTACTAGCAGTACTAATGGGCCACTAGGACCCAATAGCACATTAGAGCTATTGAAAGTCCTTTTACGTGAAATCGGGTCATAGCAGGCCCAATAACACATAAGCATATTCCCTTTGGGCCCAAAGATCATGTTAATGGGCTAGCAAGGCCCAAAAAGGATGATTTGAAACTTTCAAGCCCAAAGTTTGTAAGTTAGCTCATCATAGTTATCATGTGTTTATTGAAATGCTTTGGTTTAACGATTTTGTTTTGTTTTGTATTGATTCAAGACCGAATCAATTCGTTTTATAACGATATTTGTTATTGAATGTGTGTTCGTTTTCCGTCTTGACGGTAGTCGTTGGTCTTGTATTTTGTCTTAATGAATTAATTTGTTTAAAAGTAGAACTTGACCTTTTCACTACATTTCTTTTATAAAAATAATGCTTTTGGTCCTTTTATATAAAAGAATTGCATTTTTAGTCCTTAAAACATTTTTTTGACACTTTTGTATCATTTATTTGTTGCAAAGATAGTTTTAACCCAAAATTTAATTCGTTGACAACTTCAGCCTTTCCAGAATGGTGTTTCTCGGTTGGAAACCCATTTTTCACACCTTTTACAGTTTTGGACCAAAATCTAAAAAGTTTACATTTTTGGTCCTTTTTGATAGTGAAAAGCATTTTTGACCCTTAAAATGATTTTGTTAAGCTAATTACCCCTTGTTTTACAGAAAGTTACATTTCAGCCCCTTAAACTAATCATTTTTCGCATTTTGAGGCTTATTGGGCCGAAAAGCCCAAAATTAGCGCATTAAGCTAAAAATTTACATTTTAAATCCCTTGAAAATTTTATTATTCAGAAAAATGATTTTAGAAACTGTTTTGACCCTTTTGACCCTCAAAAAACCGTGATTTGTCGATTTGTAACCCAAGGTTTGTATTTTTGACAATTAAAGTCGTAAAATGGGTTTTATGTTAGAATATGTTCATCATAACCTTATAAGCTATTATTCTTGACTTGTCTAGTGTAAGATAGCTTAGATTATGTTTATTTCCTTTCTCATGTCATAGATCTCGGGTTTACACCCCTTTTGGAAACATATTCATCACAAACATACTTGAAATCACACACATACATGCATAAAATCACACATAGCATACACATACACATAGATCTACACATTTTCTTGTATTCTACCCCATAAAGACATGAAAACCGAAAAGAGAGGGGTATGAAGCTCACCTTGAGTGTGGTTTTAGTTTTTGAAGGAAAAGATGAAGAAGATTCGATCCTAGCAAGCTTTCTTGGAGGATCTCAAACTTAGATGTTTCTAAGGTTCAAGATCACGAGTTTTGTATGAGATAAAGAAGATTGTTGGTAAAATGAAGAAGATATGGTATGAATCAAAGAGATAACTTACCAAAGATGTGAACTACTTGATGAAAACCTCTTGAAACACAAGCAAAATTCGAGATTTTTGGATGAAGAAGAAGAGATGTTTCTTAAGTGATTTAGAGAGAATTTTTGTGAGGTGTGTGTGTTTCTTTGTGTCTTCGGCCGAGTGAAGAAAAAGGAGGGGAGAAGA